AAAACCTTTCTACAGGCTACAGCTCCCGAGCACAAACGGAAAATGAGGAATTGTGCCACTTGCTAGGTTAATTGGAACTGACCACCCATATTGGGTAAGTTTCTTCTCATCATCATTCATGCTAATTTTTCTGATTGCAAGATTATCTTCTTCACTGCGGACGGAAACCCAGTTAGGCTTTCTTCATCACTATGCGTCCCACATTTCCTATTCGTTTTCTTCCGTTGCAAAATTTTCTCCATCAAACCAGCCAGAGCAAACTAGAGATGGAAATAATTTATTTACGGTTTCTTACCTCATGAACTCACGTGGGATGTCTGCCAAAGTTGCTAGTGAAGTATCGAAAAGGGTTGAACTGAAAGACTCAGATAAACCCGAGTCCGTACTTGATCTTCTCAGAAGCTTTGAATTCTCAAATGCTCAGATATCCAAAATTGTGACATGCTTGCCCCGGGTGCTTGTGGCAAATGTTGAGCACAATCTTTTGCCCAGGCTAAGGTTTATTCAGTCTATAGGTTTTTCACCTTATGAAATCCCAGAACTCTTCTGCTATAACCCGGCATTACTAATGTATAGCTTGGATAAACGCATAATTCCCCGTTATGAGGCCCTTAAAAGTGTACTTATTGATGATTGGAAAGTAAGGAGAATTTTTAAAAGCTCGAGGTAGAATGCCTCAATCTTCTAACATTAAGGTTTTGAGAGATAAAGGAGTGCCTCAATCTTCTGTCTTTACCCTATTATCTAGATGTGCAGATGTGGCATTTATAAATCAGTCAGTTTTTGCTGAATATATCAAATTTGTCAAGGAAATAGGAATCAAACGTTTCAAGCCTGCATCTATTGAAGCACTTGTTATTGTAACAAAGTTGAGTAAATCAACCTGGGAGTTGAAACTGGATATCTTTGAGAGATTCGGCTGGCCCAGGGATGTCGCTCTCTTGGCATTAAATAAGGTTCCAGATATCATGGCTTTGTCAGAGAAAAAAATCACAAACTCAATGAAATTTTATATAGAGGAAGTGGGTTTGCAATTGGAAGACATAGTTGGGCGCCCGAATATTCTTAGATATAGCTTGAAGAAGAGGATTGTTCCTAGATGTTCAGTAGTAAAAATTTTGAAGCTGAAGGGTTTCATTAAGGATGACGTGTCCATTCCTCGTTTGATTACCACCAGCGAGAAAATTTTATGGAAAATTATGTGATTAAATTTCAGGAAAGTGTTCCTCAGCTACAGAAACTCTATGTAGGTGAATTGGGGCCTTTACCTGAAGTTTTGGCGTAGGCAGTTTCCTGGAGGTAATGACTTGTAGTTTTTGGTTTCCTGATTTATTATGGTCATTAAGCCGTTCTGCTTCAATTCTTACTCTGCTTGATTTCTTTCAGCGTTATGAGTTCCCAATTTGAACTTCTAATTTATAAGATACTTCTTTCTGTTTTGTAACTCATCTTAAGGTTATGAATCATGTTCTTTTTATCATAGTTCTTGATTCTTGAACAGGTCTTGTCATATGACATATAGTTATCAATTTTACTGGCATAGTGGTTGGTCCTATGTTAATTATGCGAAAAAGAGTAATAGAAGCGTAAATTTGATGGTGAAGGTCTTTATGAGGAAACAAAAACTTAAATTTTGATGTGATATTAACCTATTGAAATTAGGACTGTTCACGGGACAGATCGGGATTGGGACATGCCCGTCCTGATGAACAGTAACGGGACAGAAAATCTGTCCAGTGTCCCAGTCCGTTCCGGTGCTGTCCCGATCCCGATTAGGACGGGACGGGACCAGGACGTCTCGATATATATTTTTTCTATTTTTTAATAAAATTTTAAATTTTTTTAATAAAATCTGATTTTTTTAATTATAGTTTTTTGAGTTTAGGTCTTATAAAAACATCTTTTTATTTTTTTTATTTGTTTGGACACTCTTCAACAAAAGCCTAAAATATTACATATAATAGTAATTAAAAACTTTAAACAAAAGCTTTTAACACAATAAAATCTTGCTAAAAATTTTAATCATCAATAATCTTAAATTATCAACAAATATAAAAACTCTAAATAAATATATCTATAGTTCCATATAATAGTCTCAAATTTTTAAAAAATATAAAAAAATAATATTATACAAATAGGATAAAAAATTATAAAAAAAAAAGAAACCGAGACGGGACCAGGGCGAGATGACCCCATCCATTGTCCCATCCCGTCCCGGTTCCTTTTTTGTCCCGTCCTCAAAAATTTCAGGATGGGTTCGTCCCGTCCCAATAAGACTGGAACTGGAACGGGTCGACTAGGACGAGCCGGCCTTGAACACCCCTAGTTGAAATCAAGTTTCATTTTTGTAATTGCTTTTGGACAATTTTAAATTTTCTTCACAAGTTCTTATGAAGAAGAAATAGGCGCCAAAAGCCCATGTGTAATTTTAAATTTTCTTCACAAGTTCTTTGTAATCACCGTCTTTATCAGGAACTTGTTGATTTTGGTAGGTCCCTGATTTGGTTTTGCCTCTGTTCTCTCTCCCTTTGGATCCTTCATCTATTGATTTTAATTTATATACCCATTTTTAAGACCTTTGAATGATGCAAATCTGAAGCTTCTGTGACAGAATGAAGTGCTTCGCCTGTCTTATTTTCTCATCTTTGCCATTAGATTAAAAATTCTTCTATGCAAAACTTGATTGTTCCAAGAAAGTTGATCCCTGTTTCATTTTTCACTGGGTGAAGAAATTTAATGGTTCTTTAACTTATAACTGCTAACTGCAAATCGTCCCTATGTATGCATTTTGCTAGAATTGTTCTAATAATTTTGCAAAATTTGCACTGTTGGACCTTAAAACCTAAGTATTGAAGAGAACGAAGAACCTTTAGTGAACTTGATTTTTGGTTCGCAAGGCTGGAAATACCCTTATTTATTTTCTCATGGAGTTACATTACAAGATAATTTGATGATGCGTCAAAATTTTATGAGAATGTTTGGTACATATGGAACACAATTTATTTTTGATACCAAAAATAAGATGTCTGTGTAGTAATTTTTTTGTTATATAATATACGCTCAAGAAATCCATATGAATGTGTATTAGATATGGGCATGTAGCCCAATCCCATGTATACGATATATTTTTTTGGTTATATATATAAGATCCTTATACACATAAGATTGGAGGAGTAATAATTAATAAATGGTTAATATTATCTTTCATCCTTGAAATTGAATCTTATTTTAATTTTGATTTTGGAAATTTTGAAACAATAGTCTTGATTTATGAAATTTGACCTTACTTTCATCCGTATAAAATTTTCTGGTGCTTGAAAAGAGTTTTGTTAGAGGAATCAAAATTGTAGATTTCAAATTTTAGAGACCGAAATAAAAACTAAGGTCAAATTTTAATGAATAAAAATGATATTAACTTAGTAATTTATTATATAGAGTCCAAAATTAATTGTGACTAGTTATTATTTTTCATTTCTAATAATGCAACATCAATATTAAATAGAAAAAATATTCATTATTAATCATTCATTCCTTTTCCAATATAAATAATAACATGCGGGATCAAATTTGTGATTTGATCATTTGATGTCGTCGCAATTTTTTATGTGCTTGCTGAAAAACATGAATATTCTGTTTGAAATCTTTTAAAATCTAAACATCACAGAGTATTATGCATATTTAACGGGTGTGATTCATAAGAATAAGTAGGTAAAATAAAGTTAATTTTGAATAAGCATTCTAATTAAAATCTAAGCATTTTTTAAATTAATCTGAAGAGGATAAACCTAACTAAATAATTCCTTTTATCATACATTTAGCTCCTTGATTTTATATAGGATTTTGATTTGATTTCTTAACTTTAAAAAATATATTTAGCCACTTAATCTTAAATTGTTAATTTTAATATTATAAAAAATTGTTAATTTTAAATGATAACTTTTTATAACAATTATGATCATTTTAAAATTAAATTTAATATGTTAATATTTATAAATATTTTAATTTTTGTTAAATTTAAAGATCTTAATATTATTTTTTTAAATGTTTTTAAAATAAATAATTAAAAAAGGCTGAAACTTTTAATAAAATTAGAGGATTAAAGGTATATTTTAGTTAATTTTTGTTTTTTGAAACAAAGTCTTTGTTCACATCCTTGCAATAATTTAATGATTTAATATAATTTTTTATTCTTTAAATTTGTTTTTATTTTAATTTTGGTCTTTTAAATTTCAAGTCATAGATTTTGGTTTTTTTTATATTAAAATGTTCAAATTTTTATTGGATTATAAAAATTAATATTTTAAATGAAAAAAAACTTGAGGAATAAAAACTTATAGTTTAAAACCCTAAACTTTTTAAGTTTCAAACCATAGATTTTAGTCCAGGTAAAATAATTTAAATTTTTATTAGATTATAAGAATCAATATTTTAAAAATTTAAGAGACAACAACTTATAGCTTAAAACTTGAAAATAATTTAAGAGATCAAATTTGTATCAACTCTAATTTAATTTATGTGAGACAACCCAATGCCCTTCTTAATGCAAAATTGCGAGAGCGAGGAAAGGAAGGAGTCTTCATACACCAAAAATGGAAATCGGTGCGGAAACTATTGCTTCTTCTCCTTCATTGTTTATAATCTTACTGCGAATCCATTATTTGTTCGCTGTGCTGATTGCGTCGGTGTGGGAAAAAAATTTCTAGTAGCTTGATAAAGCGAAAGCAGCATTTTGGGGAATCGTGCTTCTCGCGGGTGTATTAGCAGCTGACAACTCTTTTTTGGTGAGTTTCTCGTCGTCATCCTTCATGCTAATTTTTCTGATTGCAAGATTGTCTTCGTCACTGAGGACGGGAACCAAGTTAGGGTTTTCTAATCACAATGCACCCCACATTTCCTATTCATTTTTTTCCTTCGGGAAATCATCTCTGTCAAATCGATCCGAACAAAATCAAGACGGAAATCAATCGTTCACGGTTTCTTTCCTCATCAACTCATGTGGCATGTCCGCTAAAGTTGCTAGTGAAGTATCGAAGAAGATTGAACTGAACAACCTAGATAATCCCAACTCGATACTGAATCTTCTGAGAAGTTACGGATTCTCTGATACACATATATCCAAAATTGTGAAAAGGTTTCCCCGAGTGCTTTTTGCAAACCCTGAGCATAACCTCTTGCCCAGGCTAAAATTTATCCACTCTATAGGGTTTTCAGCTCCCGAAACGCCAGAACTCTTCTCATATAACCCTTCACTACTATCACATAGCTTAGAGAAACGTATAATTCCCTTCTATGAAGCCCTTAAAAGAGTACTTGATGACGATTGGAAAGTAAGGAAATGTCTAAGATGCTTTACTTGGAGTATGTCCTCCTATGATGTAAAGAATATATTTCCAAATGTAAAGGTTTTGAGAGATGAAGGAGTTCCTCAATATGCTGTCTTTACTCTGTTATCTAAACGTGCATATCTTGCATTTATGAGTCCATCAATGTTTGTTGAATATGTCAACTTCATCAAGGGAACAGGAATCATGCCTTTCGAGGCTCCGTTTGTTGAAGCACTTTTGGTCATAACAAAGTTGAGTAAATCAACCTGGGAATCGAAACTGGATATCTTCGAGAGGCTTGGCTGGTCCAGAGATGTCACTCTTTTGGCATTCAGTAAGTTTCCACCTTTGATGTGTATGTCAGAGAAAAATATCACAGACACAATGAAGTTTTTGGTGGATGAAATGGATTTACCGTTGAAAGATATAGCTAGATGCCCAGCAATTCTTGGCCTTAGCTTGACGAAGAGGATTATTCCTAGATGGTCAGTGGTTAAAATATTGAAAATGAAGGGTTTAATCAAGGATGATAGATCCCCATTTACCGTCATTATTCCGAGTGAGAAAAGGTTTCTGCAAGATTTTGTGATTAAATTTCAGGAAAGTGTTCCTGAGCTACTGAAACTCTATAGAGAGGAATCGAGATCTTTACCTGAAGCTCAGGCCTAGTCAATTTCTGGTTTCCTGGCTTATTATGGTTATGAAACTGTTCTGCTTCATGTCTTCCTCTGATCGATTTCTTGCGATGTTATGATAGCACAATTGGAACTTCCAGCCTGTAGGAATTTTTTTTCCTGTTTACTATCTCATCTGAAGGTCATGAATCAAATTTCTTTTCATCGTAATTCTTGAATAAGTCATCATATTATATATGACATGTGGTAATGAATTCTGCCTGCATCTTAGTTCTAGACCTGGTTATGTTGCCCAATTTTAATCGAGCCAGAAAGAGTATTATATTGATCTGTTTGATGCTGAAGGTCCTTAAGTTGTGGAGAGGAAACAAATACTCAGAAATTTTGATATAATATTAATTTGTTGAAGTCGAGTTCAATCTTCTTTGATTGCTTTTGGACAATTTCAAATTTTCTGGACAAGTTCTTGTGAAAAATAGAAAGTTGCCAAGATCAATTCATGTAGCTATTTAAGAGTGTTTTGTCCATCTTATTTTTCACTCCAGTGATGGATTAAAATTTCTCCTGTGAAAAGCATGATGGTCTGAAGAAAATTGATATGTTTCCCTTTTCACTGATTGAAGAGAGATTAAATGGCGCTTTTATAACTGCAAATTGCAGTCTTTAACATGATGCCCTGTCTGGTCCCTATGCATCTTGCTGGATTCGCTTTTTAACAGAAAATTATATCCAAGGACCACAGGGTTTCAAAATCCACACTGGAGGACCTTGAAACCTCGAATTTTCGAAGAGGCTTGGTGACCTTGAGTTACATCCCCGACCATCTTAATCACCGAGGGAGTGGAAACTGAAGATGGTAATTTGCTATCACATTAACACGGTTTATAGAATATTTACAGTAGTCAATCCTAGATATGCATAATGGGAGAGGCTGCTGTGAAGAAATTTGATCACTTTCTACCCTTTGAATTGAGGGAGGGTTAATATAATGGTGTCGTTATATTTGCAGCAGTCAATCCTGAAGTTTTGGCACTTTTTGTGCATGGAATCCTTCATGATATCAATATTTTCTGTGCGTGAAAACATATCCGATATTATTAAGCAATTAATCTTTCAAACATGTATTAATGGGCAGTTTTTACATTCTTCTTTGTGATATGGATTCCTCTAGTAACTCAGGAAATGCAAAATAAAAGAGACTTGAAAATAACAGAAGTTAATTAGCTAAAACTCTGGATGAACCTATAACCTAACTGTATTTTACGGTGAATACAGAAACATAAGTAAATACTGGTCAAAGGAAATTCTCATTCTTAGCTCTATAACATGATTACTCATAGTAATTAAATACAACTGAATCGTCCCATAGATAAAATTGATTCTAAAGTTTTCGAAAAATATTCTGAAAATATTCTAAAGATAAGATGCCATCTGCTTAAATGTGAATCAAGGATATACTAAGATATTAAATACTACTCCGGTCATAAATATAAAACCTTTTTTGTAGTGTAAATTACACTACAGAAGGGGTTTTAATTAAAGATCGGAGGAGTAATATCTTTGTGATCCCAGTTTGGTAACTTATATTTCTAAAATAATAAATCCTAATCTAAAATGATATAAACTACTAATAAATTTAAAAGACTCTTAGAATAATTCAAAATATCTAAATGATATGTCAAGTCTTTCTACTAATCTATTAAATACAAAATAAATCTTTTTTTAAATAATAAAATTACATAGAAAATAAAAACAAGATGACTTAACTGAAATTCTTTTAAACAAGATGTTTTGTTTGTCTTCTTCCCCCTTGTGCTTCTTAAAAGTTGAATGGCATGTAAAATATGTGACATAATTGCTCTATGGATCCCTATCTTTTGACCCAAAAGACATTGATCCGCCCTTAACGTAAAATCTAATTAACTAATTTGAGTTTTTTTTAAATACTCTAATTATTTTTTCTTAATTCCCTTCCTTCCTCTCCTACTTAATTATTGTTGAGAAAATATTAATAGGATTAAGTTGGGAAAAATTAATAAATATGTAAAATAGGCTTTACATATAAGATCAATATCAACTCTCAAATTAAGTCATACATTAAATATAAAGGGAGTATTATTTATCAATTATTCAAGAGAAAAATCACGCATTCTACTCCCTTCTTTATTGATTACAAGGTCAGTTTCTAGAAGAAATGGATAACCATTACAATTAAGGCACCTTCTATAAAAAAATGAAGGCAAAATTGTAATAAGATCCCACATAAAAGAATTAAATACAAAAAAGTTCTTGAAATTATGAAATTATTTCGAAGTTCTAAAAGATCTTATTGCAAAAAATTTTATTTGTTTAATTATCAAATTGTCTTTATTTCTATTTTAAGTATGCATTGACAACTTAAAAAATAGTCATTAACAATTTAAAGTGTAACAAGTAACAATTATTACAGCAGATATTGAGAAAATGTGTTGTTAAGACATGCCGCGATAATTATTAATTATTATATCTTAAGTTGTTAGTGATTGCATTTTCAGTTATCAATATATACTTTAAAAAAAGATAAGGACGATTTGGTAATTACATAAATAGAATTTCTTGTAATAAGATTCTTTGAGACTTCAGATTAATTTGATAATTTTAAAGGATCTTTTCGCATTTAATTCTTTTGAGTGGAAAATTATTACAATTTTTTCAAAGATGAATGATCTTTCACTTGGGCTTATTAATGAAGTTTTTTAAATATTACTACCCCTAATTAGTACAGGAGGTAGTAAATAAATTTTTGGGAAAATGACAATAAAATATCACTTGAATTCCAAAAAGACAAATAAGGCACCTGAATAAGCAAAATGACAAATAGGGCACTGGGTACCAATCTGGAATTCATATTTTCGGCCAAAAGACCAAAATGCCCTGATAAAATGTGGGAAGACCGACACTGAAAGTGACAAAAAAGGAGAGAGGAAGACCGACGCAGTGAGAGAAAGGAGAGAGGAAGACCGACGATGATGAAATGCGGGAAGAAGGAAAGAAGAATGTTGGAAATGCTATTATCTTACTCCTTCGCATCACCATTCTGTAGAGATTGTTGATTTGGTGGGTTTTGGTTGTGGGAAAGAGGATTTGTAGTGAGAGAGGGAGTGAACCTGTGGGAAAGATGAAGCGGAAATCAGAAAACAATGGCAAGCAATTACGTAACGTAACTACTGTCATATGCCTGCTGGTTTTTGGTAAATCCCATTACGTGAATGGTAAATTTCACTATACATGTAGTTAATTATGAATTTTACAAAATACATATTGTGATTTACAACTTTTGTAGTGAAAGTGACTACTTTGTTAATGGGTTTTGCAACCTGTTTTCAGGAGATAAACAATTGTTTGTAAAACTAATAAAAGTAACAACTTTTGTAGTCACGTTGAATTAACTAGTTGCAAAAGCCATTTAAGAAGTGGTTATTTTCACTATAAAAGTTGTAAATATCACTGTGTGTTTTGTAAAATTTAGCGTCAAATTTTATTGATTTTTAGAAACAAGTTGCTCATCCCCTGAAAAAAGGTTGCAAAACTCATTTAAGAAGTGGTAATTTTCACTACAAAAGTTGTAAATATCACTCTATGTTTTGTAAAATTCAGCATGGAATTTTATTGGTTTTTAGAAACAAGTTGCCAATCCCTGAAAAGAGGTTGCAAAACTCATTTAAGAAGTGGTAATTTTCACTACAAAAGTTGTAAATATCACTCTATGTTTTGTAAAATTCAGCATGGAATTTTATTGGTTTTTAGAAACAAGTTGTCAATCCCTTGAAAAGAGATTGCAAAACTCATTTAAGAAGTGGTAATTTTCACTACAAAAGTTGTAAATATCACTCTATGTTTTGTAAAATTCAGCATGGAATTTTATTGGTTTTTAGAAACAAGTTGTCAATCCCTTGAAAAGAGGTTGCAAAACTCATTTAAGAAGTGGTAATTTTCACTACAAAAGTTGTAAATATCACTCTATATTTTGTAAAATTCAGCATGGAATTTTATTGGTTTTTAGAAACAAGTTGTCAATCCCTTGAAAAGAGGTTGCAAAACTCATTTAAGAAGTGGTAATTTTCACTACAAAAGTTGTAAATATCACTCTATGTTTTGTAAAATTCAGCATGGAATTTTATTGGTTTTTTAGAAACAAGTTGTCAATCCCTTGAAAAGAGGTTGCAAAACTCATTTAAGAAGTGGTAATTTTCACTACAAAAGTTGTAAATATCACTCTATGTTTTGTAAAATTCAGCATGGAATTTTATTGGTTTTTAGAAACAAGTTGTCAATCCCTTAAAAAGAGATTGCAAAACTCATTTAAGAAGTGGTAATTTTCACTACAAAAGTTGTAAATATCACTATATGTTTTGTAAAATTCAGAATGGAATTTTATTGGTTTTTAGAAACAAGTTGCCAATCCCTTGAAAACATGTTACAAAACCCATTGAAGAAGTGATCATTTTCACTACGAAAGTTGTAAATATCACTATGTGTTTTGTCAAATTTAGTAGGAAATTTTATTAGTTTTTAGAAACAAGCTCCCCATCCCCTGAAAACAAGTTACAAAACCCATTGAATAAGTGGTCATTTTTATTACGAAAGTTGTAAATCCCACTATACGTTTTGTCAAATTTAGTGTGAAATTTTTTTAGTTTTTACAAACAAGTTGTTTATCTTCTGAAAACAGGTTGCAAAACCCATTAACAAAGTAGTCACTTTCACTACAAAAGTTGTAAATCACAATATGTATTTTGTAAAATTCATAATTAACTACATGTATAGTGAAATTTACCATTCACGTAATGGGATTTACCAAAAATCAGCAGGCATATGACAGTAGTTACGTTACATAATTGCTTGCCATTGTTTTCTGATTTCCGCTTCATCTTTCCCACAGGTTCACTCCCTCTCTCACTACAAATCCTCTTTCCCACAACCAAAACCCACCAAATCAACAATCTCTACAGAATGGTGATGCGAAGGAGTAAGATAATAGCATTTCCAACATTC